TTAGAGATGGATTGACATCTCCCTCCAAGAACCAGGAACTTTAGGTCTTACCTTCTGGGGCATTTTGTGGTTTTCCACTGAGCCGAAGGATCTTGGCTTCCTCCACATCAAAACCATTCAGGTTCAAAGCCCAGGCTTTCTGGTGTTCCTGGCATGTAAACGTGGTGGTGAAGCATGATGTTGTTATCCAATGGACATAGTCCATGGATAAGCCCATGCCTTGATACCCTCTGTGACACATACCTTCTTGGTGGGCGTCTGGCTGTCTTCAGGCTGGTTCTCCTTGCTCAGGAGGAAGCTGGCCACCTCCATCTGGGAAGCACTGCGATGGGGGATGTAGCGGTCACCGCCAGGTTTGCTAGGAGTGGTCTGAACCTTAGAACTGGATTTGCCTGGGGCGGAGAGAGAGAAGACAGTCTGACCAGGCTCCTGGGGGAGGAGGCATCAAGGCTGCTCCCAGCCATTCTCTCTTGCTCCCGTGTCCCGCCACATTCCACCGACCAGGAGTTCGGCCCGGAGTCCTGCCGGCGCTGTGGGATCTGTTAGCTGCCCGCATGGGAGAGGGAGCCGGCCCTGCGGCTTCCTTGGCTTTGCGCTGCCAGCGCGCGGGAGGTGCATTGGGGATGGGCGCGTCCAGCTGCAGCAGCGAGTGCAGGTCACTCTCGAACACGAACTGCGCCATGGGAGCGCCTGTGGGGGAGGGGTCCTTCCAGTTGGTGCCCGCCGAGCCCTGGAGGAAGAGAGGAGACCGTGCTAAGGGGACAGCGAGGGGCTCCTCCGTCCCCGACCGGCCACACAATCAGAGGCACCCTCGGCTGCAGCCCCTCATGCCTGGTACCCGCTGGCCGCGGCCCCACCCGGGTTCAGCCCAGCCGCCTCTCACCGTATGCTCCCGAGCAGGTTCCAATCCTAGACCGGCTTCAGCACGGCTGGTTTACGCCTCTTAAACTCTCCGCTCCGAGCACTCATTGGCTCCTTCAAAACCCAACCGTCGCAACTGTCGCCCTCGCCCATTGGCCTCTACCGCACAGAGGGCGGGTCTTCCGGGCATGCTACGGATCTCACGAGAGTCCATCCCGGGAGCGTAATTTGAAGGGTCGGAGAGGGGCTTAAAGGCGGTGCTGGGGAATTGGTGTCTGAAAGCGGGTGGCGCGGGTGGGCTGGCGCCTGAGCTGCCTCGGCGTACCGCGCTCGCTCCCATCCGCTTCGCGTCCCCTCACCTGGCGCGAGTCCGGAGTGTCGGGCTCCGGGTGCTTGAGGTGTCTGAGAGCCTAATGACGCTCACATTGAAATCCGCGCGTGGGTCGTATTTATGATAACACGCCTGCGGAACTCGGCGGAGGGACCCAAGGCGCTTGAGCCTCAGAGAAGGGAAAGGGGAGCCAGCGGGCGGCACGCGGGCAGGGTGAGGGGACGGAGTTGAGCAGCTTAGGAGCAGGAAGAAGTCCGGAGCTAGTTCGGGTGCATCCCGCTATTTGCTCGGCGCCTGGCAGAACCACCCCCCGACACACCCTTACTAGAGAGGAAGTAACACACGTGTTTGTTTGTTGTTGTCTTACAAAGAGGGAAAATGAGGCTGGAAGAGGGGAAGGAAATTCCTTAAGGCCAGGAAAAGGACCAAAATCTAAACCTGCTTATCTGGAAGAAAAAAAAAAAAGGTTAGACTGCCCTATGGGAGACACTTGGGCTTACTCCCAGGGGCTTTAGAGGTGTCTTTAGAGGTGTCTCTTTAGAGGATCTTAGAGACACACTCTAACGTGTAACCTATGCGTGGTCCACCCTTCTCCATCCGCGCTCAGGGGGAGGGATTTGGCCAAGGTCATACAAAGACGTTGGTGGAAATCCAAAGCTGACTTCCATTCAATCCAGTGCTCTAATAATGACAGAAATGAATTGTGTGAATATGCTCAGAGGCGAAGCAGCAATAATAATAATAATGGGTACCATTTATTGACCATCTGCTAACTACTGTGTTAAAAGTTTACATACAGCCGGGCGCGGTGGCTCACGCCTGTAATCCTAGCACTCTGGGAGGCCGAGGCGGGCGGATTGTGAGAGGTCAGGAGTTCGAAACCAGCCTGAGCGAGACCCCGTCTCTATTATAAATAGAAAGAAATTAATTGGCCAACTAATATATATATAGAAAAAATTAGCCGGGCATGGTGGCGCATGCCTGTAGTCCCAGCTACTCAGGAGGCTGAGGCAAGAGGATTGCCTGAGCCCAGGAGTTTGAGGTTGCTGTGAGCTAGGCTGATGCCACGGCACTCACTCTAGCCTGGGCAACAAAAGCGAGACTCTGTCTCAAAAAAAAAAAAAAAAAAGTTTACATACATTATTGAGTTCAATCCTTAATCCCATAAGGCAGATATTGTATCTTCGTTTTATAGAAACTGGGTCAGAATAAGGTTAGGAACTTGCCCAAAGGCGCACAGCCAATAATAAGAGTGCAGCCAGGATTCAAACTATCTAACTCTTGCAATCCTAACAATATGCTATATAGTCTCAGAAAGAGGCTGGAAAAAAATCAGGTTCTCAATCATTAGTCTTAACACCAACCCTGATAATGACAGAAAAATCTGGGGCTCTTTGCCCAAACTGAATATTGTTATTATCTTTGAATTTGAAGCATTCGCATTCTCTATTTCCAATTACCTGGGAAAACAAGGAGTTGGGGCCTGGCGTGGTGGCTCATGCCTGTAATCCTAGCACTCTGGGAGGCTGAGGCAGGTGGATTTGAGCTCAGGAGTTCAGGACCAGCCTGAGCAAGAGGGAGACCCCCATCTCTACTAAAAATAGAAAAAACTAGCCAAACAATTAAAAATAGAAAAAATTAGCTGGGTGTGGTGGCATGTGCCTGTAGTCCCCAGCTACTCAGTAGGCTAAGGCAGGGGGATTACTTGAGCCCAGGAATAGCTCACTTGAGCCCAGTGAACTATGATGACACCACTGCATTCTACCCAGGGTGACAGAGTGAAACCCTGTCTCAAAAAAAAAAGGGGAGTTCTTGAACCACAGAAAATAAAAGAGGTAGTCTAGTATCAGGCTGGTCTGGGCCTTAAATATTAAGCCATGGACTTTGGACTTTATCTGCTAGGCATTGTGGAACCAGTGAGGATTTCTGTCTAGGGAAGGACCAAACAAAACATATCTGAGGGGAGAACATGGCTAGCAATTTGTGACTTCTGGACTAAGGGTAACTGTAGAGAAGAAGGATAAGGGTACAACCTCAGGGAATTTGTACATTTAAAAATAAAAGAATGAAGGAGGGAAATGGAGATTATATGGACCTTGATGTGGGATATCCACTATGCTATAAAGTGGTCAAGTAGTAGAGTAATGACAGAAAAGGTCAGATTTGGCCATTGGGAAACAAATCACCAGTGACCTTGGTGAGCAGGATCAGGAAAGTGGGGGCTTGAGATCCACTTGGAAGGGGCTGCAGAAAGGATGGGATAAGTAGAGTGTGCAGCCAGCAAGCATAGGCTGCTTGTATAGCTCATCCTCTGACCTACTCTGTGTTAGCTCACTGCAGCTGCTGTAACAAGCTACCACAAACTGAGTGGCTTAACTGACAAATATTGTTGTCTCATATATTTGGAGGCTAGCATCCCAGATAAAGGTGTCAGTAGAGCTGGTTCCTTCTGAAGGCTGTGAGGAAGAATCTGTTCCATACTTTCCCCCTAGCTTCTAGTGGGTTGCTTGCAATCTTTGGCATGCCTTGGCATGTAGAGGTATCACCATGATTTCTGCCTTCAGCTTCATTTGGCTTTCTCCCTCTGTGTATGTGTCCAAATCTCCCTTTTTATAAGAATACCAGTCATATTGGATTAGGGGCCATGACCTCATCTTAATTATTTATATCTGCAATGACCGTATTTCTCAATAAAGTCACATTTGAGATACTGGGAGTTAAGATTTTAACATCTGAATTTGTGTGTGTATGGAACACAATTCAACCCATGATATCCTCCCATTTGTGGAACCCAAACAGAAACTGGAGCCCAAGGGAATTCATTGATGTAGGCCATATGAATCAGCCTTGGAGAGCACAGGATAGGGTGGAGAAAGATGAAGAGTAGATCTGGATGGGGCAAATGGATGACATCCAGTATACTCACTCTCCATAATTCCTTCCTCAGCCATATGAAAGCCTCTGATTCTACTCCTAAGCACCCAAGACTAGGCTGGGAGGAACGTGAGCTTGAGCTATTGATTCCCCTGGCTCCCTCCCTGCCACATTCCTCTACCAAAGGCCACAACTCCTGCTAGGCAGCCTTCTCTCTTAGCTACTCTTGGAGATCTGGGAACCACTCCCTCCCCTTACCCTTGGATGCCCAGGGGTGGTGCCAGCTCCTTGTTAGCCCCATGGTACTGCACTGTTCCTTGATGGTTTTCCCAAATCTTGCCCTCCTCTTTGTAAATACTGTATGCCCTTTATTAAATTCTCATCAAATTACTCAATTTGAGCATGTCATCTATTTCTGTGAGATCCTGACTGATACAGTGTGTATATTTGGAGCCAGCAAAAAACCCCAAAAACATCAACAGCTGAAAAACCACTTGTTTGAGAATCTGAATGGGTTAGAGAAAACCATAACTGGAATTATCTGTGTACATTTACTGCTGCATATGAATGGCCAGCAAACAAAGCCTGACTTGCACCCATAGCTGCTCCCCATTGCTCTAATCACTGCTCCAAACCACCGCCCCCCATCATATCAGCATGGGCATCAGACCCTCATAGGAGCATGATCCCCACTGCAAACTGCACATGCGAGGGATTCAAGTTGTGCCCTCTCCGTGAGAATCCAACGCCTGAGATCTGAGGTGGAACGAGGCAGTGATGCACCCCCATCCCTCCTACCCTCTCCCACCCCATCCGTGGAAAAACTGTCTTCCAGGAAACTGGTCTGCGGTGTCAAAAAGGTTGGGGAATCACTGGCTAAGAGGATGAGGGAAGTTTGCACAGGGCTAAGGTAACATTGCCCAGAAAGAGTTCATACATTTGGGAAATGTTTATTGAAGTCCTACTATCATGCATCAAGCACTATTCTAGGTGCTGGGGGAAAAGGACAAATAAATCAGGGCCCTTGCCCTTAAGGAGCTCACAATCTAGTAGCAGGAGACAGACATGTAAATAGTTACTTGCATAAAGCAGCATAGGTGCTGTAGTAGAAGTCTGGGCTGGAGATAATTTTGGAATGGTCAACATTTAGTAAAGGCACTCAGAATAGATGGGATTAGAGACTGTGTTAAGAATGGAATCTTGAGGGTCTACAATAATTAAGGCAGAAGAAATCAGACTAGGAGATTAAGAAAATCAATGCTATGTGTGGAAACCTAACTTAAAAAAAGAAAAAAAAAGAAGAAATAATTACAACAGGAGTTTCAGATATATTAAGCATTTACTATGCCCTAGGCACTGTGATTTACTTATATTATCTCATTTAATCATCCTCTTGCTGACCCTATGGGGTACTGTTATTATCTCTGTTCTACAGTTGAGAAAACTAAGGCTCAGACACTAAGTTGTTTGCCAAGGCTGCACAGCTAACAAGTGTGAAAGACAGGAAGTGAACTTAGCTCTGACTCCACAGTTTTGCCTCTTAACTGCTTGTGTACTCAGAGGGGCAGGAGCAGAGCCAGGAGAGAAAGTAATGTTATAGAAGTCAAGTTAGCAGAGAATTTAAAAGAGAAATGAGTAGTCAACCATGATAAATGCCACGGAGAGATCAAATAAATTGATGATTAACAAGATCCTATTGGATCTTGCAATTAGAATATTTGAGGTGAACTTTGCCTAGGCGGTTTCAATAGCAATGTAGTAGTGGGGGGATTAATTGAAACAGTCTGAGGAGTAAATAGGAAGTGGGGAAGTAAGACTCCTTGCAAGACTTGTTTGCAAGGAGTTTGGCATTAAAGAGGAGAGAGAAAGAGGTAAAAGTTAGAGCAGCTTAGTCAAATAAGCCTGCCTCTGCAGAAAACTCTTGAGTTTATGTCAGCAGCAGTATAGGAAGATCAGTGCTACGAAGCCCAACTGTGAGGGTAGGCAGAGGGGGATGGAGGTGAGGTCTCAGGTGTTTATGTTGGGGATAGGGAGGGTAGAGAGGTTCACAGCAAGATCTGTCCAGGGTACTGGGGCGAGAAACCTGTGCTTAGGGCTGCTGCCAACAACTTAGTGGTAGGTAGGAATGGTTGGCGATGTGGGTGGTACAGCAGGACCCTGACTCAGCCACTGGTGGGCACACAGAGAGGGGCATGGTCCCCAGGCATGAAGGCTGCAATCCTCGGTAGTCCATCTGGGCCTGGGAGGAATACAGGGGCAAGGGGCTCCTCTCTGAAGACTTAGGTAGGATTTCAAGGAGGCTGGGTTCCACTTCTTCATAGGTATCTGAGACCGTGGCCTTAGGCTGGGAGAGATATGGGGAGGGGAGCTGGATTAGAGCAGATCCTGTGGGAATAGGGGCTGGATTGTGCAAGAAGGGGCATGGAGCTGGGGGCAGTACCTGGAGATGCTGCACAGGTAGATAAGGACCTTGAACCAGCTGTGTTGTGGGGGCAAGGACCCAGCACCAGGCAGTGTTGGTGATGGGGACAGGGGAGGGAGCACACTCACCGGACTCAGGGCTGCAGTATCCCTAAGGTACTGGCCTAGGACCCGGTGCAGGTCTGGAAGTGAGGGCCACAGGGCATGCCTCAGTGTCCTGGGGAAGAAGGAAGAGGAGACTGGATCATGGGAGTGACTGGGAAGGATGAGGAGAGTACTGAGGTGGGGAAGTGGAGGAGGCAGTGAGGGCAGGAAGAGAGGCTTGGAGAGATAAAGTGTGTGGTCAAGGCAATCAAGTAAGGTAGAGGAGTGTAGATGAGAGAAAACCTCAGGTTGGGGAGGGAAGTCAGTGGCAGCAGCTACAACAAAGGGTGGCGAGGTTTTCTGCTTCAGGGCCTTTGCACTTTTTGTTCTCTCTGCCTGGAACACTCCATTCATTCCCTCACTTCAATATGGTCTCTGCTCAGATGTCATCCTGACGAGAGGCCTTCCCTGACCACCCTACCTGAAACACATTGGTCTCCTCCAGATCCACCAGGGATATGTTCCAAGACCCCTAGTGGGTGCCTGAATCAGCAGACATATATTGTGTCTATTCCTATACATACATACCTATGATAAAGTATAAATTAGGCATATTAATAGTAAGAGATTAACAATAACTAATAATAAAATAGACCCATTATAGCAATATGCCAGCACCACTGCTCTTGTACTTTGGAGCCATTATTAAGTAAAATAAGGGTTACTGGAACACAAGCACTGCAATACCACGACAGTGGATCTGATAACAGAGATGGCTACTAAGTGACTAACGGGTGGGGAGCATATACAGCATGGATTCTATGGACAAAGGGATGATTCACATCCCGGGCAGGATGGGGAGGGACAGCAAGAGATTTCATCACACTACACAGAACAGTGCACAACTTAAAGCTTGCGAATTATTTATTTCTAGAATTTTTCATTTAATATTTTCAGACTGTGGTTGACCAAGGGTAACTGAAACTGCAAAAAGTAAAACCATGGATAAGGGGGGACTACTGCAGTACCACCTCCCTTCCCCATCTATATCCTGCTCTGCTTTGTTTTTCTTTATAGCACTTGACTTACTGTATATTTATTATGTTATATATATTTGTTTTTGTCTGTCTCACCCCACTAGAACATAAGCTCCACAAGAGCAGAAAGTATAACTATTTGTTGACTCCTGTATCTCCAGGATGTAGAATAGTGTCTGGCCCATAGTAGGTGCTCAAGAAATTAGTTGAGGCCGGGCGCGGTGGCTCACACCTGTAATCCTAGCTCTCTGGGAGGCCGACGCAGGCAGATCGTTCAAGTTCAGGAGTTTGAAACCAACCTGAGCAAGAGCGAGACCCGTCACTACTATAAATAGAAAGAAATTAATTGGCCAACTAATATGTATAGAAAAAATTAGCTGGGCATGGTGGCGCATGCCTGTAGTCCCAGCTACTCGGGAGGCTGAGGCAGCAGGATTGCTTGAGCCCAAGAGTTTGAGGTTGCTGTGAGTTAGGCTGACACCACGGCACTCACTCTAGCCTGGGCAACAAAGCGAGACTCTGTCTCAAAAAAAAAAAAAAAAAGAAAAGAAATTAGTTGAATGAATGAATGAATGAATGAATGAATGAAGAGAACCAGTGGAGCTTATTACTAAGTTCCTGGAGAGGGTGGGCCATCTGGGAAGAGTATGGATTAAGGCATGTTGGGGGAACCTCCAATTCTTTATCCTCATATTTCCACATGGAGGGACTTTAGCTGAACAACATTTCAAGCCTCTTCTGTGACCTCACTAATATCTATCCAGGGGACTTACCTAATACGTTGGGGAAAAGGAACTGAGTATGCCTGGCTCAGCACTGCCTCCCTCTTCTTACCCAACTTTTTTGCTGAATCTGGCTATCTGCACAGAGGCTGCATTCCAGTCTACTTGTACATATGGGCTGATTAATTTTATTTATTTATTTTTTAGAGATAGGGTCTCACTCTGTCACCCAGGCTGGAGTGCAGTGGTCTGATTATAGCTCACTGCAACCTCAAACGTCTGGGCTGAAGCAATCCTCCCGCCTCAGCCTCTGGAGTAGCTGGGACTACAGGCATGTGCCACCAGGCACATTAAAAACTTAATTTAAAAACTTAATTTAACTTAATTAATTAAACTTAATTTAATGAACTTAAAAACTTAATTTTTAAGTTTTTTTTGTAGAGATGGGGGTCTCACTATGTTGCCTAGGCTGGTCTCAATTCCTGGGCTCAAGGGATCCTCCTGCCTCAGCCTCCCAAAGTACTGGGATTACAGGCATAAGTCACTGTGCCCAGCCCATATAGGCAGATTAAAAGTTCAAAGACGCCAGGCATGGTGGTTTATGCCTGTAATCCTAGCACTCTGGGAGGCCAAGGTGGGCAGATCATTTGAGCTCAGGAGTTTGAGACCAGCCTGAGCAAGAGCAAGACCCTGTCTCTACTAAAAACATACAAAGAAATTAGCTGGACAACTAAAAAAAAAAATATATATATATATATTAGCTGGGCATGGTGGCACATGCCTGTAGTCCCAGCAACATGGGAGGCTGAGGCAGTAGGATCACTTGAGCCCAGGAGTTTGAGGTTGCTGTGAGCTAGGTTGACGCCACAGCACTCTAGCCAGGGCAACAGAGTGACACTCTGTCTCAAAAAATAAAATAAAATAAAATAAAATAAATAAAAGTTCAAAGAGAGACATGTTCAAAGAGAGATGGGTGTCCATGAGAATGGCACCTGACCCAGCCTAGTACCATCAAAAGCTGCTGCCTAGAGGAGCTGACTTCTGATCTAAGTCTTGAATCAGCAGATGTTACTAACTGAAGGACAGAAGTGGGATGGATTCTATCCTTCATGTTATAGCTGCCTATGACATTTCTCCTTGGCCTTAGTATTCCCAAGTAAACGAGCCATTTATTAATAACATTTATTTAAGGACCTGCTGTTTGGCAGGCACTGTGCTAAGGATTTAGCAATGACCAAGTAAGGTATAGGGAAGGGAAGATTTATAAAGAAATAAATGCAGTAAAACGATGCTGGTACTGTATTGGAGCACAAAAAGAGTGGCCAAGAGGGAAGGTCAGGAAAGGTTTCTTAAGAGTTCGTGAGGAAAGTTATTTAAAGATGAATGGGTTCAGTCACACATGGAGGCTATTTCAGGCAGAGGGGACATTATGTGCAAAGGCACTGAAGTAAAACCACTTGGCCTGTGGAGAAAATCACGGACAGTTTGGTAGGGTGGAAGTGCTGGCAGGGGCCAGATTTTGCAGAGCCTTGCCTGTCATCCTAGGGAGCCTGGACTCTATCTTGGGAGCTATTAAAGGGATTTAAGGAGGAGAATGATAGATTCGTGTGTGCGTTTTAGGATGATTAATCTGGTGGCTGTGAGGCGAGTTTGGAGGGAGAAGAGGCTCTGTTTCAGTGAGTCTGGTAGTGTCTGTAGGGCTAGAGAAAGGGGACCATTGTTTGAGCTAGGTTTAGGAGGTGGAATGACCAGACCTGATGGCCAATTGGATGCAGGCGGGGTGGGCAGGGAGGCGCCTGAGCGGTCTGGCTTGGGTGAAGGGTGGATGGTAGCCTTGGAACTGAGGTGAGCAGCAGGAGGTGGGGCTGTTTGAGGTGTCCAATATAGTGAGCGTATTAGAGTGTAAAAGGACAGTGCGACTCCCAGAGGACATGCGCAGGAAGCAGCTAAAGCCATAGGTGTGGATGTGCTGTGGTTACAGAGTGACCCCAGAATGAGAGGAAAGGGAGAAGAGTCAAAGAGGCTTCAAGGCTTGGGTACTGGGTGAGTGGTAGTGCCATTGTCAGATGACGGACAGAGGAGAAGCAAGTCTGGGGAAGACATACTTTATGGTTCCATTTTATATTTAGAGGCTGCCAGCCCCGGGACCAAGGCAGATCTCCTGCAAGGTGGGGGCTGTACCTGTAGTGCGCAGGGAACTGCCACCTCAGCAGCAGCAGGCCCAGAAGGGCGCTGAGGCCCAGCACGAGGAGCAGAGCAGTCACCAAGGAGATCCAGGCTAGGGGACAAAAACCGCTAGACCTCAGCGGAACCTGGCTGGAGTCCCGCCCCCAAGCCCGCCAGACCCCGCTCTGGCTCAGCCCCTCGCCGCCCCAGGGCACCGCAGAAATCAGCGCAGCCGCAGACTGGTGCGACCAGAGCCCCGCCCTGCGCGCCCGGCGCCCCGCCCCCTGCGCACGCGCAACCGGCTTTGGCCTGGCCCGGCCCTGGCCTCACCAGTCTCGGAGGCGGTCTCCACCTTCGCTGGGTCGGACCAGGCGCTCCAGGGGCCGTGGTAGGTGGGGCCGTTGAGCCTGGCGCGCAGCTGTAAACGGTAGCGAGATCGGGGGCGCAGCTCCAGGGTCCCTCTGCGGGCCCCAAGAGGCGGCTCCAGCACCTATGCAGAGAAGCGTGTGGTGGCCTGGCGTCGGGGCCTCGAGAACCCGGCGTGTGTGTGACCAAAATCCTACCGCTTTGAATCCCTGGGCGGTCAAGGATGCCCACAAAGAGTCTTATAGGCAGAAAACACATTTCCCGACAGATACATGCAGGATGGAGCACCCTGACCAAGAGCTTCTCCCTAACCGGGCCACGCCCTGTCAGGATACACACCCTGGCACGCAGACCACACCTGCTCTGAGAACTGCGCATCCAACACACATCCCCGAGGTACAACCTCGGCAGAGATCGCGGTACACGTAGACCTGGCCGGATACTCTCACCACAGCTCCAGGTCAACCCGAGACACTCGGATACTCAGCCACACAGACCATGCCACAAATGATACCCGTGCCGCAGAGGATGCCAGATTGTGCTAGGTGCTGGGGTACGAGCATCATGTATGTGTACAAGCAGGAAGACTAGCGAACATTGTGAACTGTTTGTGATAAGCCAAACATTGGGCTAGACACTTGGGAAAAAGAACGGTCTCGCATTTGTCTAATGAAGGAGACATCCAAACAGGAAAGTAATCACAACAATTAATTAGTGCAAGGCACCATGGGAACACAAAGAAGCATTTAGTGCTGCTCAGCTGCTTGGATGGGTGTTGCAGAGTAGTTTAGTATGCCAAAAGCATGGAAGGCTGGTCAGTCACAGATGAGGCTAAGACAGTCCTAGTAGGGATTTGACGACTTTTGGAACATTGTACTCAGTTTACTTGCTAATAAATAAAGGGAAGGAATGAGAGGAAAGGGAGAGGAGTCAAAGGGGCTTCAAGGCTTGGGTACTGGGTGAGTGATAGTGCCATTGTCAGATGAGGGACAGAGGAGGAGCAAGTTTGGGGAAGACATACTTTATGGTTCCATTTTATAGTTCAACAACAGTCAAAATGAATCAAAGATAATGTCAGGGTAGTGGCTACCTTTGGTGGTGGGGAGGCTGTAGAGGGCATAAGGAGCTTCTAGGGTGCTGGAAATAATTTATATCTTGATTGTGATAATGGTTATATGGGTGTATATGTACACATGTACAAACTAGTTGTATATTTAAGATGTGTATGCTTTATTGTATGTAAGTTATAGTGATGGAAAAGTAAAGTTTGGGGAGGAAGATGAGTTCAGTTGTGTATACATTAAGTCTGAAATATCTGAGGGAAGGGGGTTTTGGTAGAACTGTATAGTAAGAAGTTGGATATATGTGTGGTAAATGAGAATGAAAATAGACAAACTAATATTTAATGCATATTGAGCACCTATATGTCAGGCAATATGCTAGGTATTTATATACAGTATTTAATTTTTACTATAACTCCATAAGGTAGATAGCTTTATCCTTATTTCAGCAAGGAGGAAACTGAGACTTCAAAAGTTTAGGTAATATGCCTGTGGTTTGTAACTTCCTTTTCATATAAGGGCTGGAATGATAAAATTAGGATCATTAATGTGTAGTCATTTAAACCATGGGGTTGAAGCACTCACCTAGGGAGAACATGTTTATCAAGACTCCTCTTGATAAGAGGAGCCTAGGATGGGACTATAGGATGCACACTATTTTATGAAATGGTGGAAAGGAAGGAACCAGGAGAGGAGAGTAAGTTTAGTTAGAGAGGTGGGAAGAAAATCAGGGGAGATATATCCCAGAGACAAATTAAAGAGAAACTGTGAAGTGAAAGTAGCCAGCAGTATCAGATGCCCAAGAGCGATTAAGATACCAGTTAGACCAGATAAACATTGATACACTAGCCCAGACACAGATCCACAGACACTTTCACTTCTGATAACAGATGTGACAAGCTTCAGGAATACCCTGTGCAGGGAGGCCTGTGGCCTTCACTACGTGACTGTACCTTCCAGTCCTGATGGCCTTCTCCCATGTATCGGAGCTGATAGCAGATCTCTTGGGCTGGCCAGGATGATGGGTGCTGCCACTCCAATTCCAGCTGCCCACTGGAGACCTCCCTCCAGTGCAAGCTTGGGGTAGGGATGAGCACTGTAGGGATGTCAGCAGGGACTGGTTTAAGCCCTTTTGTGGGTGGCATCATGCCACCAGGGCCACAGGTCAGAAGTGTCGGAGTTGGGGATCCTGGGCAGAGGGTCAGATTTGGTGGGGGTGGGAACTGTGTGGGAAGAAAGTCCTTACCAGCCTGGTGGATCCAGAAAGGGGAGCCCAGGTAGCTGTGAACAGCACCCTGGGCTGTGGCCATCTCCACAAGAATGTGAATAACACTGTCATTTCGTGACTGGAAGTGGCAATGCGAGAACTGGGGGGTCTGTGATCCTGGATTTGTTTTCTCCTCTTCACACTTCTCCCAGATGGGGTACCTAAGAGCCAGCCCCATAGAGTCATTGAATCAGGCCTGCCCCAGGGACCAATCCTGATACTCCCCATCCCATAGGAACTATGACCTTCATGGATTATAATCTAATGCCTCCCTTGGGTAGGCCTCCAGGGCTTTCCCTGTGTCTTTATATCAATGACATTTTATTTTCTGAAGTCTGCTTTGTTGTCTAGCCTCTTCTCTTTGAGAAAAGAGCTAGCATGATAAGTGAAAATATCATGGGCTATAGAGTTCAGGTCTTGGCTTACCGGAAACAACTTTGGGCAAATCACTTGTTTTATCTCTGCCCTAGTTTCCTTCCATTTGTAAAAGGGGTTGATGATACTTACCTCACAGGATTGTTTCAGAGATTAAAGAGGCTCATCTTTCTGGAGGAAAACATCTTATATTTTTAATTTGTTCTGATATAGCAGCCCTTTTACTCACCCCTATGTATTATTTTGCTAGTAGATCATTACAACAGCCTCCTGTCTTTTCTGTCTCCATTTTTGCTACTGCCTTCCATTTGTTTTCCATGTGGCTACCAGAATTTGCTTCCAAAAATGTTGATATGATAATATCCAGAATATATCACACATCTGTTTATTTTGATCTTCACCACAGCGACATGAGATGAAACCACCATTATCTCATGCCTAGATTATGGCAAATTTCTAACTGATTCTGCTTCTATTCTTGTTTATAATTTAACAGAGAAACATCTTTTAAAAATGTTAATCATATCGTGTCACTTTTCTGCTTAAAATCCTTCAGTGGCTCCTCGTCCCTCTTGGAATAAAATCCAGACTCCATTCCAGGGCCTACAGGACTCTATATGATTTGGTTCCTCCTTACCTTGCCATTCTTATCTCCTATGATTCTCATGCCAGTTTGTCATCCTTCATCCACATAGGCCTTCTTTCTGTGCCATAAATATGTGAAATGCACTGTCTTTGCGCTTTGTCTTTGCCCTGAGGTTGCCCGGACTGTAGGTCATCACATGACTCACTCCTTCTCCGCCACTTGGATCTCAGCTTACCTGTCACCTCTCCCTGGTGAGGCTTTTCCTAACCACTCAGTCTAAATTAGCATCCCCCTTCCTTAACCTCTATCATATAACCTTGTTCCTTTATTTCATTACTTATTTGTCTGCTTGTCTTTTTTCCTTCCCCATCACTGAAATGTAAGCCCCAACAATATTGGAACCTCTTCCATTTTGTTTGTCACTCTGTCTGTCCCCAGTGCTTGGTACATAGTCATTCTCAGTAATTGTTTATTGAACAAGTGAGTCATGTCTCCCTCCTGACTATAACCTCTAAGTGGCCTGCCATCACTAAAGTTATTTATCACTTATGTTTGCCAATTTATGTGCCAGGCACTGTGCTAGGCACAGTGAGAACTGTGAGAACACAGAGGAATAGAATCATCTTCAAGGAGCTCTTATTTTAGTGGGAGAGACAGAGAACAGATGATATTTTTCTGTGATGTGCATAGGCTGGCTTGGGAGCATCGGAGAGAAGCATCTAACCCAGACTGGGAGGGTCAGGGAATGCTTCCTGGATAAGGCAGTGTTTAGACTGACTGTCGGACTAAAAATAGGATAGGCAAAGGGGACAGACAGGCACCCCAGGCACATGCTTATGCACAGATAAGAGTGTGGTGCTTTGGGGGAAATTCTAAGTGGTTCAGATGGTTTTAGCAGAGGGGGCCTGGTGGTAAGTGGTAAAAGTGAGACTGTAGACCACATCACAGATGTCCTGTGGCCTCTCTGTGGAGCTTGAACTTAATCTTGTGGCAATTATTGAGACTTTTAAGGATTTTTAAGCAGAGAAGTATCATAATTAGCTGTGTTCTTTAGGATGCTCACTCTAACTACAGTTTTTAGAAAGAATTTGTGAGGGAAGACTAGAAGCAGAGAAATCCATTAGGACGCTGTTGTGGTTTTTCATGTGCAAAGTGATGATGGTGTGAAAATAGAGTAGTGGTAGTGGGATAAAAGGAAAGAGATGAGTGAAGTGATATTAAAGAGGTAGAAACGACAAGACTATTTCTGATTGGACCTGGAAGGTGTAGGAATGGGAGAAGTCCAGGATGATTTCTATTTTTCAGGCCTGGAAAACTGAGTTGACAGTAGAGTGGAGGACAATAGAGGAACAGCAGGTTTTGGTAGAGGAAATAACTTCCGTTTTGCCACCCTTTGATCCATTCACAGCACCTCTGTACAATGGGTATCTGTGCAGTTATTAAAAAGAATGAGTTACATCTTTTTGTAATGATCTCTAAGACATATTTTTAAGTAAAAAGGCGAGTTAACAAATCATATATTAATATATAATGTGATCCAATTTGTACTGAAAAATTAAATACTATATATAGTCATATGTAAATGCAGAGGAAACACTAGAAGAATACATTAAAACTGTTAATAGTGATTTTTCATTATTCATTAAAACAACAGTTTTTTACTGAGCACCTACTATGTTCCAGGCACTTTGGTAGGTAAGGATATATTGGTGAGTAAAAACAGACATTGACTTTGCCTTCATGGATCATATACAGTCAAGGTCAGCCTTTCTCAACTGGAGTTCTGAGAGAGATTTTTATTATCAAACACATAATCACACAAAGTGTAAATGTAAAACTGTAACTATGACAAGTACTTAGGAAGGAGAGATACATGGTACAACAAGAATGTATAAAAGTACCATTGGATTTAGTAAGGAAGGTCAGGGAAGGGTTCCCCCAGTAAGTGAGACTTGAGTTGAGATCTGAAGGATTAGTAGAAGTTAAGTAAAGACAGGAAGGCTAGATAAATGGCACCTGCAAAGACCTAGAGGCAGGAGAGAATATGCCAGATATGGGGGAACCCAAGAAGGCCAGTGTAGGAACATATGGGGCACGGACAACATAGGTTAAGATGAAGCTGAAGGCATGAGTAGTGGCCAAGTCTCTTAGAACTCTTAAATACTTGATAGAATTCTTTTCTTTATCCTAAGGTCAGTGGGAAGCTATTGAAGATTTTTAAATGGGGAGTGTTCATTTTTGTACTTTTAAAGATTCCTCCAGCTCTTAAGTGGGGAATGATTTGAAGGATTCAATGTGATCATTGACTAGGTCTGTTTGGTGGTTCAAGTAGAGATGATGATGGGTTGTACTGGGATAATGGCAGTGCTAGGCAAAAGTGGATGGATTCTAGAGATATTTCATAGGGAAAATCAACAAAACTTGGTTATGGATTGGATATGGAGAGGGTGAAGGACTATTGAAGTGTTTGGTGGCAGTCTTCCAAGGCCAGCCTAAATTTTGTGTGGATTTAATAGATAATGGGAAATTGCAGTACACATTTGAGTATGGGAAGACCATGCAAAGTTAGAGTTTTACAAAGATCATGCAAAGTTTGAGCTTAACAAAAGTCATTCTGTTCAGCAGCATGGGGGATAAATTAGAGGTGTATGAGACTGTAGGCTGTTACAGTGGTCCAGGTGACATGATTAAGGCTGAATTAAACCAAGCCATTCCCAACAGGAAAAGAGAGAGGTTGAGGAGATAAAATACCCTTTAGAGGATGAGAGAATAGATAAGAGAGCATGGAGGCTGTTTGATTTGGGATGAAGGAGAAGAACAAGGAGGACCAAGAACAGCCTCTTCCTTCCTTCTGTAAGATTGCGCCTCTCTCCATCAGACAATTGTGACATCAGACTCAATCAGCAGTTCAACTCTCACCTGTCTCTGGGGCAGCACCGTACCCTGCTGTGGTAGAAGAAGCCTTGGGAGCTAGCGTTATCCTGTTGCTGCCACTGACAGGTGACATTCTTTAGGTCCAAGGTAAAGCATTGCAGTCCAATTGCCTCTGAGGTCAAGAAGTAAGTCCCATCAGGTCCCATGTCCCAGTACTCTATAGGGTATTCAGATCATTTACACACACAGAACTTAGAACATTTGCTCTTGCTCTGTCTTCTCTCCCCGAGCATAGTTCATCCTGTCCAGTGGCAAGTTTGAGGTTGTCGGGGTACCATGGTCCCCAGAACCCTCATATCAATCCTAAGCCTCCTTGGAGATCTTTTTTTTTTAAAAAAGATTCTTTTTTTAAAAGAATTCTATTCTTTTGTTGACTCACCTGCATCTGCAGGAAGGTCCACGGTCACAGGGAAGGACCAGGACCCCCAGGAGCCACTGAGGGAGACCCCGTCAGGTTGGCTGCGCAGCTGGAGCCAGTAGGAGCGGCCAGGCTGGAGCCCTGAGATGAGGCAGCTTCCCCGCATCACTGTCAGAGATGGAGCCTTGGGAGACAAATCCCAGCCTTAGGATCTAGGCCTTCCTGCCAGCCAAGACAGCCTCTGCCCCGTACATTTGAAGGCCCACAGCACCCCTGTGGAGAGGAGCTCAGCTCCTTACTGGTGAGATACGCACCCAGGCTAGGGGCCAGGTCAGAAGGTGTCAGGTGCCATTCAGGAGTTTTTAGGGAAATCTCCAGCCATGAAAGCCCTTAGTTTTGCCAGTGTGAATGACCCAAAGTGGGAAACTTCTTTTTTTTTTTTTTTTTTTTTTTGAGACAGAGTTTCGCTTTGTTGCCCAGGCTAGAGTGCCGTGTCGTCAGCCTGGCTCACAGCAACCTCAGTCTCCTAGGCTCAAGCAATCCTCCTGCCTCAGCCTCCCAAGTAGCTGGGACTACAGGCATGTGCTACCATGCCCGGCTAATTTTTTTCTGTTATATTTTTAGTTGGCCAATTAATTTCTTTCTATTTATAGTAGAGACGGGGTCTCACTCTTGCTCAGGCTGGTTTCGAACTCCTGACCTCGAGCAATCCGCCCGCCTCAACTTCCCAGAGTGCTAGGATTACAGGCGTGAGCCACCGCACCCGGCCTGGAAACTTCTAACTAGACATGGCTCCTAAGGGCTAATCAGAGCCTATAATCTGTCTGGGCATGGTGGCTCATGCCTATAATCCTAGCACTCTGGGGGACTGAGGCAGGAGTATCATTTGAGGTCAAGAGTTTGAGACCAGCCTGAGCAATAACAAGACCCCATCTCTACTATAAATAGAAAAATTAGCCTGGTGTGGTGGTAAACTCCTATAGTCCCAGCTACTCAGGAGGATGAGGCAGGAGGATTGCTTGAGCCCAGGAATTTGAGGTTGCTGTGAGCTATGATGATGCCATGGCACTCTAGCTTGGGTGACAGAACGAGATTCTGTTTCAAAAAAAAAAAAAAGCGTATAACTCCCCAAAGACCAACCCAATACACTGGAATCCCCAAAGTTTTTGTTTTTTCTTTTCTTTTTTGCAGAGAAAGGGAATAAGGGATTTGCGGGAAGGGAGACCCTGCCCAGAGGTGCCCCGCCCCTGCTGAGCTCACTGGAATCCCCAAATATGGTATGTCCTTTCCTGGGGCAACTTTGGGGGTAGGGGTTAGGAGGTGGAGAAGAAGAGGGCTGGAATACTTCTCTAGTTGGGGAGGTCTGCTTGGGTCCATCCTGTCGGGGTATCGTGGGCTGAGCACATGAAGGCTGGTCCAGAGCAGGGGCTGAGTTTGGCCCCCACACAGTGGGGCAGCAGGTTTCTGTGGTGATCAGCTGCATGACTGTGGGACCAGTGGAGTTCTCGGAGTCCTTGGGGCCATAGCGGAGTTCATGCCTCAGGAAATCACTGATTTCAGGAGCTGAGGACTCCCAGCTGACCTGAAGTTCTCCTGGCTGGCTCCCACCCTTGGCCTCGATGATGCTGGGGGGAGCTGGCAGGCCTGCGGGCAAGACAGGGCACGCAGCTCTCTGAGCCTGACAGTCTATGGCTCAACCCATGAGTGGTAGGGAGGGGTGCTGGCGGCTGAATCGGGGGCAGCCTCGGGGTTCAGAAAGATCACAGACCATCATTCTCCTGGAGGGCAGGCCAGGAAGGCTTCTTATTCTGTTCTTCCCCCATGAAAACAGTGACCTCGACGCAGTGTAATGGTTTATTAGACTCAAGGGCTCCTTGAAAGCAGGGATCTCTTTTTATCTCTGTATCCTCGTCACCTAGCACAGTGTCTGGCACACGGTAGGTATTCTGTAACTGTTGAATGGGTTAGTAAATGAATATGTGGATGATAGGAGGACCAGGGTGTCCCTGGTGTGAAATGACGTGTGGGATAAGTCGAGCTCTGGGTGCCTAGGCTGGGAGGAATGACAGGGAGTCTTGAGGTACCTCTAGGGTCCGGTAATGGGGGGCATCCCTGCTGTCCTGAAAGAGTACAGACAAGTCTGATTTTAAGAGCCAGACTGGGGGCGACAAATGGAGGGGCGGGGTGATAGAAGGATGGCCCTTACCCACGCTGTCCACAAAGAGCACACGCTTGGTCGTAGTCTGGTTCAGGAACACATTCTTCACCCAGAGGTACAGCGGAAAGAAGAGGCGTACTTCATCCTGGGTGGGAAACTGGCACACATATCGGGTTCCAAAGGGCACACTCTGGGAACTCAGGGGGCAGGCACGAGGCGTCTCCCTGTGGGCATAGGAGAAGTCCTACCTACACAGCCACCATGCTCAGACCTGAGGACCCAGACCTGGACCCATGCCCAATTTCTGTTTCCATCACTGCTGTTTTTCTTCTCACTGCTTGGGATAGGTGGGATTAGGTGTTATATAGGGGCCCGAGTTGGGGCCCACATACATCCAAATCACATCCGTTCATAAAGTGGCTACCTAGGGCATGCACTTGGAGTAGTCCTTGGGTAGGACCAAAGATAGGGAAGCCATTGGAGTGGGTCTCAGTTGAGCTAAATGCAGGGGCAGATCCATGGGGAGTGGGGCACAGCCCAGCACCTACCCTGGGTAGGCATACAGCAGCTGGTATGTCCCACTGGGTGCTGACTCTTCCTCATCCCAGAAGCAAGTGAGGTCTTCAAATGTTCGGGAGAAACAGTTCAGGGGCTCTGAGTCCAAGGCCAGTAAGGAGGCATCTGAGGAACAACTGGTGGGTTGGGCTCTGAGTACTCCCAGGCACGTTCTGGGCAGGATTAAGGGACCAGTGGGAGCCTCCTCCTCTCCTTCCCCTCCCAGGGCTCTGCATCCCCTCCCAGGGCTCCCTCTTCCTGGTGATAGGTGATCTCCACCCTCTGCACACCTCACCTTGGCTGGTGACTTGTGCCAGGTTTTGGGGGGCCAGGAGGAGGCAGGAGGTGACCATGAAGAGGGCCCAGGAGGGCATCTTCTCCGGCACTATGTGCCTGCCTCAGCCCATCCTCCCTTCAGGAAGCCAGGCCCCAATCCCCTCCCGGGCCAGCCCCTCAGGTTCCTGTCAGATACAGCCCCACGTCCTGTCCCTGTCCCTGCCTCTCTGGGGCCCATCCAGACCACACTGGGGCCAGGGGCCAGGGGAGGGGAAGTGGGGAGGAGGGGAGGAGGAATTAGAAAGAGCGGACATAGGCCTTTTGGTGACAGGGGTGGGGGGTTATGGGGGCTAAATATTTGTGCACCAAAAGGAGAATAAGCCTCATGTGTCTATGTCAACTATCATAGAAGGACATAGTAGCATCAGTATGGCAGCATTCACTGAGCACTTACTATGCTGCCATGTGTTAAGCACTTTGTATCTGTGTACCGAAACAGTCCTCACAGTAGTCTTACTATTTCCATTGTAGAGATGAGGAAACAGGTGCATAGGAGTTAAAGATTTGCCCAAGGTTGCTTACATACTGAGAGGCAGAGCTCAGGAGCCAGCCTTTAGGACACAAGTGCTTAACAACCACGCTGTGTTCTTGAGAGGTATAAGGTGCTGAGAAATGACTGCCTGACTCACAGCCATGGCCTCATGGTGGATATTTCCACTTTAATAGATTCCGTGACTTTGTGCAAATAAACACAATCTCCCCGGAACTGGACATGTGCCCTCCATTTGGGGCAGCCTCCACAGCTGCCTCTGGCCCCTTGCTGTTGGAAGTGTGGCCTGTAGATCAGTAGCGACAGCGTTTCCTGGGAACATTGTTAGAAATGCAGAGTCCTGGCAGGGCGCAGTGGCTCACGCCTGTAATCCTAGCACTCTGGGAGACCCAGGCGGGCAGATCATCGAGGTCAGAAGTTTGAAACCAGCCTGAGCAAGAGTGAGACCCCGTCTCTACTATAAATATAAAGAAATTAATTGGCCAACTAATATATATAGAAAAAATTAGCCGGGCATGGTGGCACATGCCTGTAGTCCCAGCTACTCGGGAGGCTGAGGCAGGAGGATTGCTTGAGCCCAGGAGTTTGAGGTTGCTGTGAGCTAGACTGACGCCATGGCACTCACTCTAGCCTGGGCAACAAAGCAAGACTCTGTCTCAAAAAAAAAAAAGAAAAGAAAAGAAGGAAAGAAATGCAGAGTCCTAGGCCCTGCCCTGGACCTACTAAAGGAGAATCTGCATTTTACCCAAATGCCCAGGTGATGTGAATACACATTAACGTTTGATAGACCGTGGTCTTCAGTACTTTTATCTGACTTTCTCAGAATCAGAGGATGGTTGGTCTCAGCTCTTCAGCTTGTGCTCATGTTCTTCACCTTTGGAGCAGAGTGGTGGGTGTGACTCCATTGTTGGACCCCAGGCCTCCTCCTTGGGGTGCTGTAACCAGGTGGATCATATGCCCATTCTAGGAGCTCTGACCCTTGCGTGGATGGGGCAGGGCTGGGGGATTGGTGCACAACCATATTAACTCCCACGTTTAGCTTCTCAGGCCTCAGCTGGGGCTCCTGTTCCTGGCTTTCCCAACTAAGTGTCCCCAATATCACCTTCCTTTCTTCCTCCCGAATTAATTTAGTAACAGAATTGTGGGGGGTGGGTGTGATAAATGGAAATCCTTCAGCCCTCCTGTGAAGTCCTGGCTTCTCTGGCACCATTTCTCTGCAAGCAGTCCCTGAGCCGGGTTTGTCCTTAGCCCTGTCTGGCTCTCAGTTCACAAGGACTAATGGACTTGCCTCCCCAGTCCCTGTCAAGGGCTGCCCGAGCTTCTGTCAGATCAAGTGAGAGAGGAAACACAACATTCATGGCTTTGGATGCCATATATACACTGATGACTTCAAAATTAACCTCTCTAACTGTGACTTCTTCCCTGGGCTCCAGGTTTGGGCAAATGACTGCCTTATTGACTTTTCTGCTTATGTGTCTAATAAGTATCTTCTACTTAAGACGACAACAATAAAATAAAACTCTTGGTTCTTTTTTTTTGGAGACAAAGTCTCACGTTGTCGCCCCAGGTAGAGTGCAGTGGAGTTATCATAGCTCATGCAACCTCAAACTCCTGGGCTCGAGTGATCCTCCTGCCTAAGCCTTCCAAGTAGCTGGGACTACAGGCATGTGCCACTATGCCTGGCTGATTTTTCTATTTTTGGTAGAGAAGGGGTCTTGCTCTTGCTCAGGCTGGTCTTGAACTCCTGATCTCAAGAGATCCTTCTGCCTCCCTGCGTACTAGGATTATAGGCATGAGCAACCACAACCCCACCTAACCCTGGATTCTTGTTCCCACCCCTAACCTGATTATTTTTTTTCTCAAGTCTTGCCACCCTCTGTAAATAGCACTATCGTATACTCAGTCACTCAAACTAAAACCCTCAGTAGTCCTCCATCCTTTCTCTTACTCTACATCCCAATAATCAGCAAGTGCTGTCAGATTTTCCTTCAGAATGTGCCCGAATCTAAACCCTTGCTCTTACCACCCTCATCCAAGTTTGGGCTACTGCAACAGCTTCCTGACTGGAGTCCCTCCAGATGATGGAGTGATATGTCTAAAATGCATGTCAGACTTCTTCACTCCTCTCTTAAAATCCTTTGAAGATTTCCCATTGCACTTAGAATACAGTTCTCCCACCTCTGGATGGCATGCCAGGCCCCGCCCAACCTGCTCCTGCCTGCTTGAATCTCATCTCCTACCACGTTTTTCTTCACTCTCAACTAGCCACGACAACCTCATTGTGTCTCTCATCTTGATCCTCACCATACTCAACTGCGACACTTGATCTTCTTCCTTGGGTTCCACAGTGTTAAATCCTCCTGGTTTTCTCCTACCTCCTACAACATTCCCTCTCAGTTTCCTTCTATGGTTGCTCTTTCTCGTGCTATTCCCCAGGTGTCCTTCCTTAGCCTTTGATATTGCCTGAGTGATCACATAGCTTCAATTCTATCTATATACCGGTACCTCCAAGACCTCATCACTCTCTTGAACTTCAAATTCTCGGTTACTTATTGGGTATCTCTTTTGTTGTTCACAGGCACGTCAAACTCACCAAATCCCAAACAGAACTATTACTAACTCCCACACACCCTTTCTGGATCTTTTCTTTCTCTATTTTGCATCTTGCATAGACTGCCTAGGCATCTAAGCCTGAAACCTGAGCGTTACCCTCATATTTTCATTCTCCCCCAACTTCTACACCCAAATCCTTACCAAGTCCTCCGTCTTCTCTAGGGAGGCAGTATATTAGTGGTTAAGAGTACAGAGCCCACCAGGGGCTTGTCCAGGACTGCCAGAGAGTTGGGATGGGGGCTTTTTGCTCCTGCGTGGGAGGAGGTCCAGCTACCTGTCCCTGTCATTTTCCCATTTTCCTCTGCATCCGCATAGCTGGAAATAGCTGCCTTCCCCAGTCCTTGACTTCTTTAGAAAATCACGCAGAAACTGGGATAGGCCTTGGGGAAAAGTGAGTCTGCTTGCTTTAGTTAAGGACTCCTGCAGGCTCTGTAAGGTCCAGCCCCACTCAGCAGGCTGAGGCTTTTCTGTTGGGATATAAGGCCAGAGTCCTGGCTTATAAGAGCTGGTACTTGACCTCTGGGCAGCCAGTGCTCAGAGAACTCAAGAGGTTGCTGGATGAGGACTGGCTTAGGCAGTAGTGTGTGCTAAACTGGCTCCCGGGTGAGAAGTGGAGGCAGGGAGAGTATTAATTTGTAGCATTTGCTGCTTTTTGTGGTGTTAAGTACTTCCATCAGGCCAGTCTCAGGCCACTAATGTGACGTCGCTGAGCAGTGGTTTGGGAAGAGAACTGGCTCTTGGCTCTTGTAGCCCACCCCTGTGCACTTGCCCCCATCTCCCCATCCTCCCACCTCTCCAGATCTCCCAACACCTGCTGGTTTTATCCAGTCAGAAAGTCTGGGACAGGCCGCTCTGGGCACCAGGATTCTCTGTCTCTCCATCTTTTCCCCAACATTCCCAGCCTTCTCTCTGAAATGAATGTTCCATTTGTACCCCAGCAGTGTGTTAGGACACTGTATTTCCCCCATACCTTTCTTTGTCGCTGTTTTTTTGAGCTTGCCATTCTGATAGTTGGCAAATGGTATCTCCTTACTCGGTGCTTTTTCTGAGGTTCAAATTTACTTTTATTCTTTCCCTGCTTAAGAGCCTTCCGTGGCTTCATGTGATCCTTTGCACTAACACTTGTCTCTTGATGGGGGAGCAGAGGGCCCTCACCACCCCTGCCTCTTCCCCTTGCTGCTCTCTCCGTGAAGCTTGGTTTTAGGTTTTCTAGTCTCCAAACTCAGCCCCCTTTCTTGCCACACGGTCTGCTTCCCTTTGCTTCCCAGGCACAGACGACACCCCCCCCCATCAGCCTGGGGAACTTTCTCTGTGATTCAAGACCTGTCCCCAGGTCACTACTTCTTGGGAGTCTTTCTGTTCTTTTTTAGACAGAGTCTTACTTTGTTGCCCAGACTAGAGTGAGTGCCATGGCATCAGCCTCGCTCACAGCAGGAGCTGGGTGGGAGTGGGCCTGCCTCTCCTCCCCAGCTCCGTCTCACGGTGTCCACCAGCTACCAGTAACCAACACTTGCTATCTGCCAGCACCAATGTGAACGCACTGCCTCATTTCATCATACAACAACTGTTAGGGGCCCTTGTCCCCACTTTATGGAAGAGAAAACAGGTTTAGAAGAGTAAATGAGTTGTCCAAAGTCGCTGTTAAAGGTGGGGCTGAGATTTTGAATTCAGGCCTGGTTGACTGCAAAACCTGTTCTTTTAACCACTACAGAGACACCTCTCACTAGGACCACATTATAGCTATTTCCATTTCATTCAGTTATTTAACTTTGTGTGCCTGGCACAGGGCCTCGTGTGAGTCTGTCCAGTGGTATGAGGTTGAATTCAAAACAGGCATCTGGAGAGGTTTAATTCAGGTAAATGGGGAAAGGACCAATAGAACGCAGCAGAAACCTTAAGGGAGAGAGCTGCAGGGGACCCCGTTTGGTCAGCCCTCTGTCCTCTGTCCTCCACGAGACATCCTGGCTCCTGAGCTATCCTCACTTGGGCTGCTAGACTCTCTCTGACCCCTTGCAAGGCCCCCTGAGAAAGCGGGAGGACCAGCCCCAGGACAGCCCTGGAGAGGGCCTGGGGTGAGATAGGAGGATGCACAGCCCAAGGGAGGAGCCTGAGATGCCCAGAGGGCCATGCAGGAAATCACCCCTTCCTTGGGGCCCTGGGGAATGACTGACTCAGGGCTGACGGGGGAAGTTGCTTTTCTGCGGCTAGAATGGGCTGCAGTGAGGCCCCTCGGATAAAGTGCTCACCATGCTCGCCTTCCCCAGCTGCCTGCCCAGTGAGGCTTTTCCTCTTTGCTTTTCCATCGCTTCTCTGGGAACAAGTCTGTGCTGCTGAGCTGGCTCTTGCTCCAGGCCATCTCCGTGAGCATGTGGCTATAGAGCAGAGTGAGTGCAGCAGTAAGAACTGAAGCTGGAATGGGCGAGGGCGGCCAGGCTGAGCATTTAGGACTCTGCTCTCTACCTGCAGGTTTCTGGCTTCTTGTAGTGGGGCTCTGGGTCCTTGTGGTGCCACAGCAGGCATGTGGGGGGCTTCTGTTGGGGAGGGTGCTTTTGGGACCCACCACCTGGCACGTGTAATCGACGTATTCGCGTTGAATTTGGAAGCGTACCCTGCCCAAATCTGGCCCTTTCCCGCTGTGCCAGTCAAGCAGCAGAGTACTGTGGCCAAGTGAGGGACTCCGAATATCTGTACTTCAATACCAGCTCTGCCACTTACTGGCTGTCAGACTTCAGCCAACTTACCTAACCTCTCTGAGCCTGTTTTCTCTTTTGTAAAATGAGGGTAATAATAGTAGCACTTACCTAACAGGGTTGTTGAAGATTGAATGAATTAATATGTGCAAAGTGCTTGGAACAGTGCCTGGCAATTAAGTACTTGTAAGCATTAGCTGACTTTATTCTTGTAGTGACTGGCATCTCCATCCAGCCGTCATGTGAACAGAAGCTTGCAGTAACTCTAGACTCTTCCCTCTCCTTCCACTCCCATTTCCAACCCCTTTCCATTCTTTCTCCGCAGGATATCTCCCAGTTCACCACGACCACACTGTCATTTCAACCCGCAGTACTGTGGTAGTCATCACTGATCTCATGGCCTCCACTTTTTTGAAAAAACAGCTTTGTTGAGTTATAATTCACAAAACATACAATTCATCCATATGAAGGATGGCTCAGTGGCTTTTAGTATGATCACAGACATGTGCAAGCACTCTCAAGTTTAGATCATTTTTATCATCTCAAAAAGAAATCTTGTACCTTTTACTCTCACCCTCTTATCCCCTCAACTTCCTCCTAGCCCTAAGCAATCACTAATCTACTTTCTATCACTATAGATTTGCTACTATGGGAATTTCATATAAATGAAATATAACTGCCATGTGTGGTTTTTTGTGATGGGCTTCTTTGACTTAGCATGGTATGTTCAATGTTCATCTATGTTGTAGTGTGTATTAATACTTCATTGCCTTTTAACGGCCATGTAATGTTCCACTGTGTGGATATATACCATATTTTGTTCATCCATTCATCAGGTGATAGACATTTGGGTTGTTTTCATGTTTTGGTTGTTATGAATAATACTGCTATAAACATAATGGACATGTTTTTGTGTGGACATATATTTCCATTTCTCTTGGGTATATACCTAGGAGAGGAATTTCTGGGTCTTATGGGAATTCTATGTTTAGTTGTTTAAGGAACTGCCAAATTTTTTCCAAAGAGGCTGCACAATTTTACATTCCCACCAGCAGTGTATGAGAGTTCTGTTTTCTCCTTGCCAACACTTATCTTTTTGATTATAGCTATCTTACTGGATGTGAAGTGGTATCTTATTTTGGTTTTGATTTGTACTTCCCGATGACTAATCTTATTGAACAACTTTTCATGTGCTTATTGGCCATTTGTATATCTGTTCAGATCCTTTGCCCATTAAAAAAAATTGGGTTATCTGTCCCTTTACTATTGAGTTGTAAGACTTCTTTGTAAATTCTAGATACAAGTCTCTTATAAGATATATGACTTGCAAAATTTTTCTTCCATTCTGTGGTTGTCTTTTTGCCTTCTTGGTAGTGTCCTCTGATGCACACAATTTTTCAATTTTGATGAAGTCTAATTTATCTAATTTTAATTTTGTTACCTTTGGTGTCACATCTAAGAATCCACTGCCAAGTCTGAGGTAATGCTGATTTACTCCTATGCTTTCTTCTAAGGGTTTTTATAGTTTTGGCTCTTATATTTAGGTCTCTGATCTGCTCTGAGTTAATTTTTGTTTATGGTGTTTGGGTAGAGGTCCAACCTCATTCTTTTGCATGTGGCTATCCAGTTGTCCCAGCACAATTTGTTGAAGACATTCTTTCACCATTGAATAGCTTTGGCACCTTTGTTGAAAATCAGTTGACTGTAGACACATGGGTTTAGTTCCGGACTCTCACTTCTGTTCCATTGATCTATATGTCTGTTCTTACGCCAGTCCTACATTGTCTTGATTTTTGTTGCTTTGCAGTAAGTTTTGAAATCTGGAAGTATGAGTCCTCCAACTTTCCCCCTCTTTTTGAGATTGTTTTGGCTATTCTAGCTGGGTTCCTTGCAATTCCATATGAATTAAAAAATCAATTTGTCAATCGCTACAAAGAAGCTGGTTGGAATTCTGATAGGGATTGCATTGAATATGTAGATCAATTTGGGAAGTATTATCATTTTGCCAAATTAAGTCTTCCAATTCATGAACATGAGAAGCTTTTCTGTTCATTTAGATCTTCTTTAACTTCTTTCTATGATTTTTAAAATAATTTTCAGAGTATAAGTTTTACACTTTATGTTAAATTTCTATCTTATTCTCTTTAATGCTATTATAAATGGAACTGTTTTCTTATTTTCATTTTCAGACTATTCACTGTAAGTGTACAGAAGAAAATTATTTTTTGTATATTGATCTTATATCCTGCAATTGTTCTGAGCTTGTTTATTAGTTCTAATAGTTTTTTAGTGAAATCCTTAGGATTTTCTATGTACACTATCATGTTATCTGCAAATAGAGATAGTTTTACTTCTTTCTTTCTAGTCTGGATGCTGTTTATTTCTTTTTCTTGCCCAACTTCTCTGGCTAAAACCTCCAGTACAATGTTGAATAGAAGCGGGGAGAGCAGACCTCGTCTTGTTCCTGATCTTAATAGTGAAAGCATTCAGTCTTTCACTATTAAGTCAGTATGATGTTAGCTGTGGTTTTTTTTGTAAACACCCATTATCAGGCTGACAAAGCTTCCTTCTATTTGTAATATTTTTAGTTTTTATTTTAATCCTGAAAGGGTGTCAGCTTTTGTCAAATGGTTTTTTTTTTCATCTATTGAGATGATAACGTAGTTTTTGTTTTTCATTCTATTGATATGTATTACATTAATTGATTTTCAGATGTTAAATCAACCTGGAATTTTTTGGGGTAAATCCCACTTTATCTTGGCGTGTAATCTTTTTTATATGTTGCTAGATTCTTTTTTCTCTTTTTTGAGACAGGGTCTTGCTCTGTTGCCCAGGCTGGAGTGCAGTGGTGTCATCATAGCTCACAGCAACCTCAAACTCCTGGGCTCAAGCAATCCTCCTGTCTCAGTCTCCTGAGTAGCTGGGACTAAAGGCATGCGCCACCATGCCTGGCTAATTATATGATGCTGGGTTGTGTTTGCTAGTATTTTGTTGAGAATTTTTGCCTCCATATTTATAAAAGATACTCGTCTGTAGTTTTCTTTTCTTGTGATATCTTTGTCCACTCTGGGTATCAGGGTAATACTGGCCTCACAGAACAAATTGGGAAACATTATTTCCTTTCTGTTTTTTGGAAATTTGCGAAGATTTTGTATTTATTTTTTAAATGCTCAGTAGAATTCACCAGCGAAGCCTTCTGGGTCTGGGCTTTTTCTTTGTGGGTAGTTTTTTTTTTTTTTTTAAATTACTAATTCATTCTCTTTACTTGTTATTAGTCTCTTTAGATTGTCTATTCCTTCTTGAGTCAGTTTTGTTAGTTAGTATCTTTCTAGGAATTTATCTATTTCATCTAAGGTATCTAATTTATAAGCACGCACCTCACCTGCACTCTTTCTTCTATATAATCCATTCTCCAGAGAGTATCCAGAGTGACTTTTTAAAAAATGCAAATCTGATCATGACACGCCTCTGCTTGCAGCTCTTGCATGGCCTCCCTGCCCGGAGGATATAGACCCATGTCCTCGGCGCTGCCTGAGAGGCCCGGCGTGGCCCGGCCTCCCTCTCCTCTCCTCTCACAGAGCTGAGTTCTCCTTCCTTCCAGCCACACGGAACTATCTGCAGCTCCTGAACATAACACGCGTCACAGGTGCCGTTTCCTGTGCCAGGATCGATTCCTCTGGTGAACTTCTGCTTCCTCTTCATGGCCCAGATAAAAACGTCAGTTTCTCTGGAAAACTTTCCTGCCCCAACTCCTGTTTAAGTGTTCCCCAGGTCCCCTCTGTCTCTCAGAGCACATCCACTGTATTTTGTTGTTTACATATCTGTCCCCATCAGGGACAACATTTTTTTTTTTTTTTTTTTTTTAGACAGTCTCACTTTGTTGTCCAGGGTAGAGTGAGTGCCGTGGCGTCAGCCTAGCTCACAGCAACCTCAAACTCCTGGGCTCAAGCGATCCTCCTGCTTCAGCCTCCCAAGTAGCTGGGACTACAGGCATGCGCTACCATGTCAGGCTAATTTTTTGTATATATATTTTTAGTTGGTCAATTAATTTCTTTCTATTTTTGGCAGAGATGGGGTCTCGCTCAGGCTGGTTTAGAACTCCTGACCTATAGCAATCCGCCCGCCTCAGCCTCCCAGAGTGCTACGATTACAGACGTGAGCCACCACGCCCAGACCAGGGACAACTTTTTAATCCCCACACCCTGGACATGGCAATATCCTTGCAGTGGATGTGGCTCTGAAATGAAGTTTTATTCTAGCAAATCCTATCTCCTCCATCCTACATAGCCTCCCATTTATTCCAGTTAATTTCTTCCTTTTAAATTTATCCCCATACTCCAATCATTCAAGTCTTTTCGGAATGCGGACTCTGATCGTCACCCCTCCCCTTCCTGCCTTGGAGCATAGTGATGTCAGTGACATGTGCTGAGCGCCGACTGTGGCCCAGGCCCCGCAGTGAAAGGCAGGCCTGTGTGAGGCAATTATTACTAACCCCACTTTTCAGAGGAGAGAATGGAAGCTCAGAGAGCTTAAGTGACTTGGCCAAGGCCACCCAGATCATGAGTGTTATAGCAGAGGCTTGGACACATGTCTGTGTGATGCCAGAATCTGTGCTCTGCCTGACAGTGTTAGACCTTCTTTGATTTCATCTGGTTCACTGAAAAAATGTGTGAGACGCAACCAGTCTTGTTTCTAAAGGACCAGGGGGAGAGAAATCTGAGGCCAGCCATGAGCCACCCAAAGGGTAGGAAGCCCGGAGGCCACACCGCATGGGGCAGTGTGGGACTAACTATCAAGACAAGGAGCAAGAGCCCAGGAAAGGAGCACCTCCTGGAGCACTCTGACACCCTGAGCAAGGCCAAGGAGTCCCAGCATGGTTGGCTGCAGTTGGGAGTGACCTCTGTCCTCCTCTCCCTTTTGGGCTCACAAGCTGGGCAGTCAGGTGGCTACCTGGAGCATAAGGAAAGGGACAGGAGCCTGAGGAGCTCAAGACGGGCCAGACTCTTGTGCCGAGGTGCCAGTCTGAGCGAGGCTGAGCTGCAGCCAGTCCTGGCGTGGACCACTCGGAAACAGCAAGGAACCTGAGGCTGGCAGCCACCCAGAGATTCAGGAAGACACGTTGGTGAGGGAAGCTGGAGAGCAGCGTGGGACCAGGGGAAATTGGACTTCTGATTAGGACAGAGGTGAGGGCTAGGGTACACGTGTAAAATGGGTCTTCTAGAACGTCTCCCATCCTGGAGAGGGCACCTCAACAGAGGGCTTGGGCCTCAGAGAGTGTAACTAGTAACAGTTTCTTTTCCTGGAAAGATCAGTTTGTCTCTTTTGGGCTTAATTCCCACCCCCCACCCCCACGTCCCACCCCCCTCACTAACTAAAGGAAAAGATAAGACATTGGATGGAGCTTCTCAGAGCATTTATTCTTTTCTGAATACCAGGCAGGGAGTGGGCAGTAGCTGAACAGGGTGTGCTGGCGGTGTGTGTGCTGGCTTGGACGGAGGGGCTGGGGTGGGGGCTTGCATGTGGGCGCAGCGGGTCGGGGAGCACACCTGCAGGACAGCTGAACTGGAAGGAAGGGTGCCCGGGGAAGCTATGAGGGCAGCTGCAGGGGGTGAGGGAGCAACTGCAAAGCATGGGACCCAATTCCCCTAAACCCACCCCATCCCTGGATCCCCTCTTTTCACCCTTAAGTTAAAAAAAAAAGTCCTTGAGGCAGCTTAGGTCAGAGACAGTCAGGGTCAGAAGTCACAGGGTGGAGTGCAGAGTGCTCCGGCCAGCAGAGCCAGGTTCTAGCTGGGTGGCGGCTCAGGCCTCTTCAGCTGTGGCATCAATGCCCGCGTAAGTGAAGTTCTCGAACAGCGACATGTTCACATAGGCCTGGGGAAAGAGCAAGCTTTAATGGGGGCCATGGATGAAGGCGCATCTGGCCTGAAGCTCCTTGACTTTAATGCGGTTGGGGCGTTTGAACTGACACTGCTTTGTTCCGGAGACTCAAGATGGTCCCCTGGCCAAGGGTGGCCCTTACCAGCCCTGGGCAGTGTGGGCATCAGACACAGCTGGGAGTCTCTGGTGACAGGCCCTTGACACCATTGTTAGAGCAGGGTTTTCATGCATCCATCCAATGAACTATTTGCTTATACATTCATTCATTCACTCATTCATCTACTCAAAGGCTATTTTTGATGATTCACTCGTTTATATGGTTACTTGATTATTCCTTCATTCTTAAGATAGTTATTTAGTCATCGATTAATTCATATGAAGAACTGTTCATATTTACTAATTTTGATATATTTTTCATTTCTACTTACTTGATAATTCATTTATTCACATGATTCAGTTACCGAATTATGTATTTATTGATAGAATGATTGTATCATCCATTCACTCATTCATTCATAAGTTACCGTATCATCCATCCACTGATTCCATTGATTCATTCATACAGTTACTGTATCTTCCATTTCCCCAGCCATCCATTTAGTTAGTTGACCATTCATACATTCTGCTCTGGGCTCTGTGCCAGGTGAGGAGAGGTATCCCAGGTGAGCAGGGCTGATGGCCTCAACAGAGGTAGACAGGCAGGCAGACTGGGACCTGGCGCCTGGGGAGGGATTTGCTGTTGGGGCTAAGCAGGGGCCTTGGAAGAGTTTGGGGCTAGCATCTAACCCAGCAAGGGCTGGAGAGGCGGGCTGCATCCTGAGGCCCAGCCCAGCATGGTGACAGCCCGGCTGAGAGAGTCTGGGCAGGTAGTGTGGCTAGCACCCATGAGATGGCACTCGGGGGAACCTCAGCCTCCACCCCAGCCTCCTCACCTTCCTGGCTTCCAGCATGCGGCCCAACTGCAGGGCGATCTGGGCAAAGGGGGGTCGCTCATATGGACGGTCCCGCCAGCACTGGCGCATCAGCTCGTACCTGCGGACAGGGGCATTGCTGAGATGAGGGGTCAGGGCTGACTGGGGTGATGGGGTCACAGGGATCGAAGTTGGGGTAACTCATCGCGGAGATGGGGTCACAGAGCTGGAGGCTGAGGTCACTCACACTTCGTCATCACAGTTTCGAGGCTGCTCCATGCGGTAGCCCTGAGGCAGCTTTTCATAGAGCTCAGCACAGGTCATGCCACAGTAGGGCGTGCCTCCTGCGGGAGGGGACAGGGCTCTGTCAGCACAGGGCCCCACAGGGGTGAGGTGGGGACGCTCCGGGGAATGGGGGTTGAGGACTCACCAAGGCTCACTATCTCCCAGAGAAGGACCCCAAACGACCAGCTGAAATGAGAAGGATGCCCTCAGTTACCTTCCAGGCCCCGAAGTTTAGCCTCCGCCTGCCAGAGATGTGCAGCCCCTCCCAGGCCCTGCATGCGACTCTGCGGGCGCCTGGCCTCAGCCAGCTGTTGTCTCTGCTCCACTGAGCTCCTGCACGGTCTCCCATGCCCAGGCTCAACATAATTATAGACAACATTTTTCTGAGCACTTACTACGGTTCAGGCACTGATCATTAATATATATGTTAATTCATTTAACCCTCACATAAACCCTGTGATATAAGTTCTATTATTATCCCCATTTTACAGATGGAGACACTGAGGCACTGAGATGTTAGCTAGCTGGCCTAAGATCACACAGCTAGTCAGTGGCAGAGCAGGGATTCAAACCCAGGTAGTCTGGCTCAAACCCAGTTAAATCTGCTCTTAATTGCCTCTCACGCTGTAATCCCCTTTGGGTAGGTGTGCATCAGACCAGGGAGAGAGTTCGAGTGGGTGGAGGAGATCCAGGGAGTCCTGGGGCAGAAGCAGGAAGTAGGTGTGTGATGATCAGAGGGGCGGTCAGTGTGGGGGACAGTGAGCTGGGCAGGCCAGGACAAAGGGCTTGGGGCAAGGGGCAGAGAGGCTCAGAGTCAGGGCGAAAGGTGGGGCAGGTTCAGGCAGAGATGGACATCCCTGGTAGGGGGAGTGTGCCAAGATGACCACCGGAGGGTGGGAGCCCTGGGGGTCATACTCTGGTAAGATCCTCAGGTGGGCATGACCTTGCCCTTCAGAGGGGAAGGTGAGAGCACTTCTTTAGTGGTCTCTCCATCTCTGCCCAGAATTATCCACAAGTGTTCCTAAACCTCTCTAAGGTACCTGCTGTCTCTTATGCAAACACAATCCTAACCTACCCCTACCCCAATCCTACCCCTGAGACACCTTCCAAGACAAACCTCCTTCCAGCTAGTCCCACCACCTTCCCACTAAGATGCTGGGCACTGCCAAGGTGTACTCCAGACATACCTGTGTTACACCGGAACATACCTAGGGATGCCAAGTCATGCCTTACACTACCTGAGCCATTTCTGACATGTGTCTGGGTTATGCCTGGGTGACCCTTGGGGGCCAGGCCCCCTGATCCCATCCCTTTCCACACTCACACATCACTCTTGGTGGTGTAGACGCTGTAGTTCAGAGACTCAATGGCCATCCAGCGCACGGGGAGACGCCCCTGGCAGAGAGTGGGTTTGAGGTGTTGAGTGTGGAGGAAGGGCCTGTTTGGGGGTTCTGGGGGGCAAGGCTAGGTGCAGGCCCTGAGGGGGAGGGTTGATGATACTTACCATCGTCTTCTTCACATAAACCTCCTCCCCTCGAGAAAGGCCAAAGTCTGCAATCTTGGAGGCCAGGTTCTCTCCGACCAGCACATTTCGGGCGGCCAGGTCCCTGTGGATGAACTGCAGGCAAGGTCAGAGGTCAGAGAAGACTGGGGGATGAGGAAGCCCATGACACTGGGGCCAGTCAGGGGTCTGGTCCCACCATCAAGTCTTCATGGGCACCCTGATGCCTGTAGTGCCCCTTCCTCTCCTCCCACCCGCCTGGGCCTC